TCACGGCGCAGCTCGATGCGAGGCTGGCCACAGTCAAGCAAGAAGTCGTCGCAGAGTTCGCCACACAGCTCAGAGGGCCGCTGGGCGCGGTCGTTGGTCAGCAGCAAAAGCAAAACGAACAGTTCAATGGGCACATTCAATCGCCCCAGGCCGCCTCGACCAAGCTGGAAGCAGATCAACCGGAGTTACGTGCACAGGTCGCTGAAATGCGACAGAAGCTATTCATGCAAGAAGCACAGACCCCCATCAAAGACTACGAGAACCTCATCTAGTGGGACAGAGCGGCAGACACCAGCATCGTTGGCACCGCGTCGGGGAACTACACCACGGACCAGCTCAAGCATAGCATCAAGCCGATCATGGACAAGTGTGATCTTAGCGAAGCCGACTGGGAGGTGGTTGGGAAGAGCCCAGCGAGACGCTTCATCATCCAGTTCAGCGGGGATGCCAATGCATCCGCGCGGAAGGTCAGAGCATTCTACAGCAAGCTCAAGGGGCCCGACGGGGATTGGGTCAACACAGAAGTCCAAAGTATCCATGGACAGTCAACAAGACTCTTCCTCGGTCTGGGCCGCTCGGGGAAAGCGGCGCGAAGGGAGTTCCAGACCAATGAACTTACCCAGTTCTGCAAAGCGCAAGATGCCACGAAGCGGTGGCGAGGTGACCGACAGCAGGACATCATTTTCTGCAATAACATGCCAGTCCTTTCCATCGTGGTCGGCTCCACAAAAGGACGAGCCCACCCGTCTGCTCTTCAATTGCAATGGCTGCCTTCAGCACGGCACAGATCGAGAGGAGATCCGCGTGCAGTTCGAGCAATTCTTCCAGATCTCGCTCGACGCACAGAATGTGCAGTGGCAGGTCTGACTGGAACCTCGCCCCTTGGCGGGTCAGAAACACGCCGAAGCCGAGTTCTTTCGCGACGTGGAATCCGAGAGCGCTGCTGGGCAGAGACCCCTCAAGAGGAAGAAGAAGTTCGCGCTCATGAAGCAGGTGGTGAACCCCGCGGCCGCGCTAGCCCTGCAGGAGGTCCAGGCAGCGGGCACGCTCCGCATCATGATCGTGACCTACGGCGCCCACAACCTGCAGCTTACTGCAGACCGGGGCCATCCCGCAAGGGGTGCGACTCGTGCCGGGCCCAGAACTGCTGAACAACAACCAGAGAGGATCAGGGTGTTCGTCGTGGATGACCTCAACCTCACGGACGAGGCCAAGCCAGAGCTGACAGCACCGCTGGTCAACAACGCCCTGCCTCGCCGCCGAAATCACCATGCAGAACGCCAGCTACCTCGGGAACAAGCTCTGGCTGACGTGGTGGAGGTCGACCCCGAGTTGCCGTCGCACTACGCCGAGCAGTCGCAGCAGAGCACGCGGATTGAGGACATGATGTCCGAGCTTCGTCGCCAATGGCCTCCTGTTAATCACGCGAAGCCGAGCCGCGCCAAGCGCGTCAGGCGCTACTTGGACAAGCACATCACCCCCTACGACTGCGCCCAGGTGGACACCCCGCCGCTGGACAAAATGCTGAACCTCACTCACGGGCCCAACAACTCGGCTCCTGGCCATGATGGGATACCGTACACTGCATGGAAGCGCATCCCCCCCCGCGGCGCCGCTCCTCATCGGGGTAATGATCGAGACAATGAAAGGTTTTCCTATGCCATCGTTTTTTTTTTCAACGGCTCGCTCATGATTTTCATCCCGAAGGGATCGGAACGCGATGATGGAATCTCAACCACCAGAATTGCTAAGGCCACGAGACTCCTCTTTCTTTATATATATATAACACACACACACACACACACGGACTGCAAGACCGTCGTTGCCACGGGCATCGAGATGACGAAGCCTTTCGTCGCGAAAGGGGCCCACGGGGCGCGGAAGGACCTCCTTCCGAAGCATCGCTTCTTCGAGCTGGTGATGGCTACAGACGCGCAGTCCCGCATTGTCGCCATGCAGGATGACTCGGCGACCGAAGATCCGCTGATGGCCCCATCCGATTTCGGTGACACGTTCCCCTCGCTGTGCAGAACAAGGCTCAACATAGCATCGGAGAAAGCGGACTTCCCCGTGGGCATCTGCAACATGAAGGAGGCGACCTACCTACTGCCCTTCGCTTTCACCTTCCTCGCGGCCGCCTCTGAGTGCTTCGGCGCCCTCGCCTCGGGCTGTCCCCTGGGTTGCCCTTGAACGGGCGCGCTGTGGGTGGTGGGCTTGGACCCGCTGATCTGGGACCTGCACCCGTTGTCGGCGCACCTCGTGGGCGCGGTCTTCGGGGACTGCGTTGACGCCGTGGGCTGCGTCCTCCCCTTTTCCAAGTTGCCCCGCCTGGTGTGCAGGGTGCACCTCGTGGCGGAGTTTGGGGCTCGCCTGGTGCTGATGTCGGCGAAGACGGCGAAGTGTAAGTTCATCCCTTTGGCGGAGGCAGTCGCCCCTGCGGTTGAGGACTGGATCCGTCCCAAAATCGCCGAGCTGGTACCACGCTGGAGTCACATGATGATCAATGACAGGGCGGAGTACCTGGGAGTGCTAAAGGGGCCCAGAACTGATGATGGACACAGCTGGTAGAAGGTAATCATCGCCTGGCAGCGCTACACTGTCAAGTTCGCCCACATCGGGACCCCGACCAGCAATTCACGGATGCTCTACAACCAGCGAGCGGCGAGCAAGATCTCATGCACCGCCCAGCTCTCAGCGCGGCCGCAGAAGGTGAAGAAGAAAGAGAGCTGGGCACTACATCGCGTCTGGCACCTGCCTCCACAAGCTCTCCCTCGTGACCTACTGGATTGGGGGCGCTGGACTTCGCTGAAGGTGGTCTCCCACGAGGACAGCAACCGACCGGCACTGATGCGCAGTTCCACTGTCTCTGCCCCAAACTGGCAGTTCTGGGCTCGACGTCTGCGCGACGCAATGGAGTTCAGCCTCTCGTTCCACGCCCGCTCGCGTGGCCTGGTTACCCCCCCTACTGGAAGTCGAATCCGATCACGTACGCCCTCGAGGAAGCGTCGCAGGGATTCCCCAACGACACGAACCGCCCGCTGGCAGTGGCCGCGTTGAGTGAGGGGAAGGTGGAGAAGGCCCGTCTTTTGGCCGAATCTTCTACGGTTCGCGTGCGCATGCAGAAGTTTATTCACTCCCTCTACATCTCCTTTCCCACCCCTGTCCGCCCGCCTGTCACTGTTCACTATTGCCTCAACTCCTGGGCGAAACCTACCGAGTCTTTTTCTCTTTTACAGATCGAATGGGAGCCACACAAAGAGTTCCTGAGCAAGAGCCCCACGCCCGCTGCTCAGTCGGCACTTTTAGAGACACGGGCTGGAGGACGGTCCACGTCCCGTCGCCTTCATTCGTATGACGTCTGCAGCCCCTGCTTTTTCGGCTGCTGCCAGTCCGGGGGCGAGAGCGCCTCTGACGCTATAGTGCACTCCACCCGCTGCCCACCTCTCTGGCAGGCGGTGCGCGCTGTGTGGCATGCGCAGCTTGGCATCCCGCAGCTGACTCGGAATAGTCTGGGCCTCTGCAACGGGGAGTCGGACGAATTCCCACAGAGCGTGTTGCTGGAGCGCACGGTCGTCGCCTTTCATACCTACCACATACTGACGAAGCTTCCCATTACAGGGTGGTTGCTTCCTATTGCGTCTGAGGGCAGTGCCCGAGCCGCAGGGGCGCTTCTCCTCTCAACTCACACGGCTGTGCAGTGATCATTTGGACACTGTGCGGCGCGGAAGCACGAGCGATATATATATATATATATATATATATACATATATATATGTATATATATATATATATGTATACACACGCATCGCCACACTAGTGCACCATAACGGTTGGTCAGCATGTATAGCACATTGTCGTTTGTACCACACACACATTGCACATCACGAGTTGTACCGCAAAGTGCGTCACTTGTATTGCTCCACTCAGACTGTACCACACAGATGATAGATAACACCGTTTATAGTGCTGGACGCACACTGTTTGGTGTCCACGCTGGCTAACAGTGTGTTTGTGTCCTGTGCCGCTCATGGAGCAACGGAGAGGGGAGGGGTCACGGGGCCCATCGCAGAACGTGTCGGCGCTTCACCGCCGAGGCAAGCTCCATGCTTTCCCCCCCCTGAGCCGGTCCCCCCCCCCCGCACGGTGCCCCCAGGGCCCCCGCCCCCGCGCGGTGCCCCCATCGCTCCTCGAGCGCCGCGGACCGCCGCGGGGCCGCGGCGCCCGCACCGTGGGCTCCCTCCTCGGCGGGCCGGAGAGGGGCCCGCGGCCGTGCGGCCAGGGCCTCCGGGGATCGGGCCTCCCACGCCCCCCAGCGCGTGCATACTCGGCATCGTTTCGCCGATCCCCGGCCCCACTGTGATAGGCCCATCTGTCAACCACCACCACCATTGCAGGTAAGAGAGGAAGAATAATAATAAGAAGAAGAATAAGGAGGAGGAGGAGGAGGAGGAGGAGGAGGACCTCCTCATCCTCTCTTCTCCCCCGTCCTGCATATGGTGGTGGTGGTGGAAGATGTGCCCATCACACTGGACCACGGTATCTGAGCCCCACCAGTTCAGCCCCCGAGGTGGCGAGACAGTCGACCCGCATGGCAAGGCTGGGCAACCTTCCCCTGGGTGCCCTTGCATCCCTCGCTCCTCGGTCCATCCTTGGCCACTTTCGCTGGCTGCGCCCCACTCGCAAAGCTTCGAGATGGCCTTCCAAGGCCCTTGCATCCTGATCGCGCGTCCTTATGACACGGGGTGACTATCTGAGCCCCACCAGCTCAGCCCCCGAGGTGGTGATCCAGCCCCGCGAGGCCCAAAGGGAGCGGTTCGCATCCTCATACAGGGCATGGGAGGGCAAATCGGCCAGTGGGTCATGGGCCAAGCCAGTGGTGATGGGGCCAGCCAGTGGGGCCATAGGCCATGCTAGTGGGGATGGGGCCATAGGCCGTGCCAGTGGGACCATTAGGCCATGCCAGTGAGGATGGGGATCGGTGAAACGATGCTCAGCTGTCGATGGCCGCCCGACGCCCCGTGCTGCTCGCCCTCTGCCTCGCCGCCGCGGCCGCGTGGCTGCTGATCGGCGCGGCCGCACCGGCGGCGCAGCAGGGCTTCGTGGCCCCCGCCTCGCCGGCCCTGCGCGCCGGGCGCAGCGTCCTGGCCGGCGCGGAGTTCGAGACGGCCTCGGCGGAGCGCAAAGAGGGACGGGGTTCAGAGGAGGGAGAGGTGCCAATGCCTCCCCCTTTCCCTCGTTTGACCCTCTTTGGGCCTCAGGGGGGGCCCTCGTCGCCACGGCTGGAATCGCCTCGAAGTTCTGGTCAGGACGCACGCCGGGAGAGGTCTCAGGGCGCATCGGTATCGGCACCACTTGGTTTCCCCAAGTGTGGGGTTTGGAGCCGGCTGGGGGCTGAGGTGGCCCAGCATGGGTTCCGGCCAGCGGAGAGGGGAGAGGACGGGGCTTCCTCGTCGCCACGGCTGGGCGCGGCTGGGAGAACTGGACCGCCGAAGGGGTCCGGGTACCGAGGCTGAGCGGATTTGCCCTCGCCCCACCCCTCCTGACAGATTGTTTTCGGGCACAGCCAGCTCAGACCCCCAGGCCGCTTCCGAGGCGGGGTGGGGTGGGGGAGCGGCCTTCCAAGAAGCGGCCCCGCATCTTGGAAGGCATGCCGCCATCTGCAAAGTGGGCTTAGCAGGTCTAGTTGGGCCTCCCAGGTGGGGTCGGAGGATCTCGCCGCATCGCCGATGCATCGCCGATGCGGCTCGATGTGAGAGCCCGATTTTCCCCGTGCCATCGCCCCCGATGCATCGGCGATGGGGCCCGATCCTCCGACCCCACTTGGGAGGCCTCTGGCAAAGGGCCGCCCTCCTCGTCCCTCGCCCCACCTCGCCTTGGACGCCCCGCCACGAGGCTGCCCCGGCTGTCATCCTGCGGGCGCTGCCGGAGCCCAAGCCCAACGAGGAGATGCTCCCGGTCGACCTCAACCGCACGTCGCTCTATTGGGGCCTGCTCACCATCTGCATCCTGTCCGTGCTCTTCTCCAGCTACCTGTTCAACTGAGTTACTGGGTGGGGGCGGGGGCCAGGCGCAGCTTGGCCGCAGGCCTTTGGCGGTGTCGCTATGGTTTTTTACGCGGCGAGATGTTGGCCTTGTCGCCGCCATCTCGCGTTGCGGCCCCACCGCATTTGACTTGTGCGCGATCCCAAAGATGAACCAGTTCAATCATCAGAGAGTCCGAAGGCTGGACCCCTCCCGGGTCCGTCTTGGCCAGTTTCCCGAGCCGCGTCCAGCTGTGCCTACGAAGTACCCCCCAGAAGCGCCCAGACATCTCCGAGACGCTGACGTCGTCCGTCGCCATTCGTCCTCGTGCGCGTGCTCGCCCCCGCGCTGCGAGGCGCAGTCGAGGGGCCTGGAGCGCGCCCCGCTCCCGGAGCCCAGCAGCCGCACTACGCCCTCGCCGGAGGGGCCCCTGGGCTCTTCGCCGCCGCCGTCGCCGCCGTCGCCGTCGCCGCCGCCATTTCCGCATAGTCGCCGTCGTGCGTCTTCGCCGTCGCCGTCGCCGTCGCCGTCGCCGTCGCCGTCATCGTGGTCGTCGCCGTCGTCGTCGTGGCCGTCGTTGTCGTCGTCGTGGCCGTCGTCGTCGCCGTCGTTGTGGCCGTCGCCGTCGTCGTCGCCGCCGTCGTGGCCGTCGTCGTCGCCGTCGTCGTCGTCGTCGTCGTGGTGGTCGCCGTCGCCGCCCCGAACCGCGCCGCTTGCCGGAGGGCACCCCCCCGGAACGGGGCGGCGCCGGGCTCCCCGGGGGCCCGCCTGCCTCCTCGGCCGTGGCGTGCACAGAGGCGCGTGCGGCTCGGGCCGCCCCGACGCGCGACGGCCGCGCCAGGGCGGGCCGCTGCTCTGCAGCGGTCCTGGGCAGGGCCGGTCTCGGGCCCCGGGTCTGAAGTCGGGCAGTTTGTTTTGTTCTACAGGAGGGACATTCCAAAATAGTCCACAACTGCTGCGGAAGCGAGTGGTCGATTATGTTTCGACTATAGTTGAAATATGTTTGAGTATGTTGCATCTTGCTTCCGAAAGCCGCCTCCAGGAGGACATGCCCGACCGAACCCTGGTCCCAGGCAGGCTCGGGAGCCTGGAGACGAAGGTCAGTGCAAGCGGGGGTCAGCGAGACCCTGAGATGCTGGCGTTGCCATTTCTTCGAGTCGGGCGTTTTCGCCCAGCTTCGGGCCCCGGGAGCCTCACAGATCGATCTTGCTCGAAATATGGTGCAGATCTTTGGCGATGTTGCAAGTTGTTCGCAACGTCGGATCTCACGGCAGCGCCTGATCTCTCAGGATCGTGCAGAGCCGGGAGTGCACTGACCCTGGGCTTGCGCGCAGGATCCTGCAGGGTCCTGCAGGATCCCGACTGACCCTGGGTTTGCATGGACCCGCGTCGGTGGATCCCCGTCGGACTCGGCGGTGAGCCCCGGGGGGAGGGGAGAGGGGGCGGGATTTCTCGGAAGGCGGCGGGGCTCCTCCGAGGCCCTCGCGCCTCCCGAGAAGCTGTCTTCCCCGAGGGTGGAGGCGGCTTCTCGGAAGGCGCGAGGGCTTCTGAGAAGCCCGGCCGCCTTCTGAGAGGGCCCGCCCCCTCTCACGTCCCCTCTGGGCTGGCCGCCGAAGCCAGACGCCACCGAGTCGTGGCAAATAACGTCGGGAGGTGTTCGACCCTCACTTCGGTAGCCAATCACGGGAGCCTTGCACGCCCTCACGATGCCGTCTTGTGCGCATTCAGCGTCGATTAGCGCCGATGTAGCTTCGATTGGCGTCGATTCGGAGAATGGGCCGAGACCTCCTGGGGTGTCGACGTGCACAAATCATGCCGTCGGGGGTCCGGCATCAAGGGCAGCGTTGGGGGGGGGGGGGATGGGCGGCTCAGGGGAGCATGCGTCGACCCCCGATCGCCCGCCGGGTTCTCGCCGATGCGGGGGCCTGACGGCCCACTCCGCCTGGGACCGTGCCGTCTTGCAGTCGAGAGTCCATCGCCGATCCATCAGCGATGCAATCGCCGCGTCCAGCTCGCCGTTCCCCTCCCCGAGCTGCCCCCCCCCCCTGCCGTTGTCCCTCGCGACGCGGGGCGCCCGCTGGAGCTCGCCTCGGGCCCCGGGGCCCGCAGACGGCAGCCCACGGCGCGACATCCGCACGCAAGATGGCCGGTGGTCATCAGGACGCGTTCGGCGGCGAGCGAGGGGGGGAAGTGAGACGGAGGAGGCCCTCTCAGACGGCGGCGGGACTTCTCAGAAGCCCTCGCGCCTTCCGAGAAGTTTTTTCTGTCTTCGGGGAAGGCTCAGAAAACTTCTCAGAAGGCCCGGGGACTTCCGAGCCTTCTGAGAAGGCCGCCGCCCCTTCTCACTGCCCCCCCTCACCCGCCGCCTTGATTACGTGTGTCAGCCGAATCTCGGAGGTGGGTAGGCCTCCTACCCTGACACGCCGATGAAGGACTTGGCCGTTTTCGGTTCGCGAGAGGGCGTCGCGGCCGTCATTTTTTTTCGGGTCCAGGTCCGTCGATTCAGGGGAGGTTCATTAGAGGGAGGTTTGTCCACTGCCGAGAATCGCCCCGCAGCCCGGCCCCGGGTTTGCGCGTGACACGGGTGATCCCCTGTGGGTGGATCCTTGTCCCTGGCTCCTGAGAGGGCCGGCCGTGCGCGGTTTCCGCTTTCCGCTTTTCGACCTTCTATGCCCGGACGTTGCGCGCGAGGCCGCGACGCCCAAAAGTGCCAGCAGAATGTCTGCTCACCCCGCTCGGTCCTCGTTGCATTGGATGTGTCGCCTTGAAGGACTTCGCTGGACAGGCACACGTTGGCGCCAGCACACGTTCTGAAGATCATCGAGATGGTGTCGGCAGCATCTCGGGGTCCCCAGCAGCACAGATCTTTAAACAACGTTTGAGCGTTTTACGCGCTGTCAGATGGCAGGGCCCACGTGTTCGAGGCAGGCATTCGACGCAAGCGTCTGGGCGCACATGTGCCATGCGAGCACAGGCCGTGAGTCTGTCGGCTGCTGTCATCTGGAGCCGGCTTGGGGTCAGGTTGACCAGCACTGGTTCTGGCCAGCAGGAAGGGCGAGACAAGGTGTGAGTTCTTGGGCTCGAGCCGTTTTCGATATTGCCTTCGCCAGTCTCCGTGGGCCGTTCTTGGGCTCCGGAACCGTCAACAAAAACGGATATGGGGTGAACAACAATTGCACAAGATGAACCCCGGAAGGGGCCGGGGAACCGATATTGAGCGTAGTTTCTTTCAGCCCCCTTCTCGACAGGCTTTCTCGGGGCCCATCCAGTGGAGACCCCCATAGCAGCCTCAAATCTGTTATACTCAGTGCTGATCAGCAGTTACATCGATTGGTCCTTGCCACTTGTTCGTCACACTTCTGCCGTTCATGCATCGAGGTTGGAGGCGGGAGCAAGTCTGGTGCATACCCATTGTAGGTATTGATGGCGCACGGGGCGCCGACGAGTGTACTTAATTAGGTCAGCAACAACGCATGCCTGCGCAGTCCCACCACATGTGTTCCCTGGCGCTCGTTCGAGGTGAAGTGCGCGAGCCGCGCTCTTTGTCGCAGCTTCAATGCATGCGTGCAGGTCTGCTCTCCACCGCTTGCTCTTTGCAAGAGTCCTGCACATGTCAGACGGGGAAGCAGACCAGGCTGCGGCCAGGGTGCGGACTACCGCTTGATTCATCATCCGACGTGGCCTTGATTGAAGTCCAACCACGAGGCCAGGTCCCAATCTCGTGAGGGTCCCATTTTCGCCGGCGTACCAAGCCTCTGAGTTGCGCGGGCGTTCTTTATTTTCGACTAGCTTGGAGCAGGCGGCCCAATGGTGTGGGGTGGGGCGCTTCGGACTAGTTCTTGCAGAGTGTCATCTGCAGTACATTTCGTATCTTTGTCATTGGAGCAGGGGTGTGGGTATGCCGAGCACCTCCAGCTGGTCAAGCAAAATCACACGCAGCACGTCTACTATGGTAGTGTGCAGTGTGCAGTGGATGCCCCGCAGCAACTTGATGGGTAGGAGTATGACAAGCCTGCGATGCTACTCGGGAAAAGGTCATTCCGTGTGGGCCTCGTGTGGGCCTCGCGCGGCAGTCGAATACGCGGTCAGGCGTTCTGACCGCTAGTTCGTGTAGAAATTTAGCAGGGGGTCCACAAATGGGGGGGCCGGTCGAGAGGTCCTTCGAACTCCTAATGAACTCCATGCTTGCCCGGGCATATGAGAGGGCAATTCTTCCCCCAGGGTCCCCGCGACGCCGCTCCCGGCCTTCTGTTCCGCACTCCAGACTCCGCGCTCCGTGGGTGAAAGACATATCCGTATCCACGGCCTCGCGGGCCGGGACCCTGGCGTTTTTTCGCGGATGCCCCGCGCAGAGCGTATCCGTGCGACTGCGCATCCGCGGGATCGCGCCCCGGAATCCAGACCGCGAGGGCGTGGCTATGGATACGTTCGCCGCTCGTGAGGGCTGCCGCTGTTGGGGAGGACAACGTCTGGCAGCGGAAGCAGCAGCTCCGGGAGCTCCGCGAGCAGGACCGCCCCGCCTGATCGATCGCGCCTCTCCGAGGGCGCCCGTGGCCAGTGCTGCAGGGGTGGGGACTGCGCGGAGTGGGCCGGATTCGCGCCAGCCATCCACCTGCACCGATCGGGGCGTGGGCTGAGAGCTAGTGGTATCGAAGACGCCTACTACGCCGTATCACCTCCCCCCCCCTCCCTTGAGGAGATATTTGCGGGGCCACGCGTTGGAAGAGCGTCTGGCCAAGCTGCCGGACTCTGTGCTCCCCCAGTCGTGCTGGAAACCCTTCGGGGACAGTTGGCGGAGGAGGAGGGAGAGACGAAGGAGAGGGAGACGCGGGAGGACGAGGAGGAGGAGGAGGAGGAGGAGGAGGAGGACGAGGAGGAGGAGGAGGACCACGAGGAGGAGGAGGAGGAGGAGGAGGAGGAGGAGGAGGAGGGAGGAGGATGAGGAGGAGGAGGAGGAGGAGGAGGAGGAGGAGGAGGAGGCCTCTTTGGGGACCGAGAGCTTCATGTGCCTTCTTAGGGCCCTTTTGGCCCGTCGGAGGCCATCTTTGGGGCCTCCCTGGGCCGACTTGGGACTGTCTTGGGGAGCTTGGGCCGTCTTGGGGCCCTTTTGGGCCTCCTCGGTTGCCTCTTGGCCCATCTTGGGGCCATACTGGCCAGTTTAGGGGGCCCTCGTGGAGGCCTCTTGGGCCGTCCAGGGCCATCTTGGAGAATTTCTTGAGCCGTCTTGGGCCGTCGGATGCACGAACAGGCGAGAATTCGAAAATCGTCAAATTATCCTGAACCGAATGAAAATCAATGATGTTTGTGTCTTCGGGCTCTCCTGGAGGACCCTTTTGGAGCTCTCGTGGGCCGTAGCAGAGGCCTCTTGGGCAGTCTTGAGGCCAGCTTGGGCCGTCTTAGATCTATGCGTAGGCCGTGGCGTTTTGGGGACGTCTTGGAGGAAAACTTGTAGACGAAACTTCTGGAAGGTCATTTGCGGTGGTTGTTGATGCTTTGTGGTGATGTTCCTTTGGCCAGGGGGTTCGGCCAGAGACCATTTGGAAACTCTTGGGAGGGCCAACAACTGCTAAACATCAATCCGCCAAGCTCCCATTGCAATGAAAAAACGAGGCGGATCGAGTGGCGGCCGACTTCGGCCGGCGGGCGGATTTCTGGGTTATTGGTTCGGCGAAAGTGCCGGGACGATTTCGGTGCGAGGCTGGGTTCTGTGGTTTCGGGTTTTATTTTCCGGGCCGATTTCAGAGGACAGTGGAATTCTTGAGTTCGCAGATTCTTCGGTTCCTGGCTCCAGGTCCGGGCATCCTCCCCCTTAACACTTGAGCGTTGTATCTCCAGCCAAGACAGAGGTGGTCCGGGGAGGGAGGCGGCAAGGATGAATTTCATTACCGTCGAGGGATGTACGAATCGTAGCCGCTATCTTCGTATGTTTGGTAGCAACATTATAACGACCGTGTGGCATGGCTATGGGATTTTCACCATTGCAGTTTCACCAGGGCACGAACGTGTGGCAGCTGCCGGGGAAATGTTGATCCGCCCGGAACCCGGAGTTTTACCACCCCCAGGGTTTCAAATCGGGGGCACAGGGTTATCCAGCTCGAGTCCCCATGTCCTTGCGAGCACGGTCAGTACACAATAGAGAGAACATAGCACAGGATGGTGGAGCAGATTCGAGCAGAGAGTTTATCAGATAGTGGATATGGGAGAATTGAGGGCCGAGCTAGTTGAGGGGGTAGGACAAGTAAACAGTATAGCAGCAGAGAGAGAGAGAGAAAGAAGAGAGAGAGAGAGAGAAGGAGTAACGGAAAATATATAGAGAGAGATCGTGTGTGTGTGTGTTGATAGTACACTTCGCAGAGTGTAGGGCAGAATTGAGTACACACACGTATGAAGTATATCTGCAACGAATGGGAGAGAGAAAGAGAGAGCGAGACAGAGAGAGAGAGAGAAAGAGAGAGAAAGGGAGAGTGCAGGCGTGGAGCACCTTCAAAACATGCGAATTTCCGCTCATCGGGCCTTTCTCTGGTGTGAACATTGATGGCAAGCTAGTGAAATGTATGTTGTTCCGGTGTGTGTGTGTGTGTGTCTTTAGCATTGCGCCATCGTATCTCAGTCTGCTGTACATTATTTCCCCAACCACATGCGCTCTTCCACGACTGAGTGGAGGGCGGTTTTCTGTTCGCCATTGGAGTCGGCGTCTGTCTCGCGAAAGTGAGCTGCAAAACAGGTGCGCACGACTGCGTACAAAAAACACCCCGCAAACGTGGCACAAACGACACGCACCGAGCTGCACTCTCCCCCCCGAGCACAGCCAGGGCAGACCCCGGTTGGCCAGGGCAGGGTGCAGAGGTCCCCCCTTGCCCCGCCATGTGGAGCCCCAGCAGTTCTTTCGGGCGTCTTTAAGGAGAGAGGGGCCACGCTCCCCACGATCATCGCATGAACGTTGACCATTGTCGATACTCGTCATGATCGTGGGCAGCATGATCACATCACAATCTTGATGATCATCTTGGGCATCATGTGTGCCAGATCCATCGCCTTGATGATCCACTAAGCCACTGTAAGCGACACCATTCTCATGATCAGCATCGTGTGCAACATCCAGCTGCCCGTGGCAAGTCTCGCTGCCGTGTTAGCCCAGACTCTGGGTGGCGACTGTTCGAGGGTGGCAGAGCTGTGATGAGGATGAGGATGAGAGTGATGATAAGGATGACAATTAGGGTCAGGACGATGATGGTGAGGTTGATCATGGTGGTCGTGATGATGATGGTATAGGTGATTATGATGTTGATGATGATGGTGGTGGTGGTGATGATGGTGACGATGCTGACGAGTCTTATGATGATGATGACGATGATGATGATGATGGTGATGCTGATGATGTTGCTGCTGGTGATGATGATGGTGGTGACGTCGGTGATGCTCATACTGATATCGATGATGGCCGCGTTGATGATAAGGGTGTGGATGAAGATGGTGCTGGTGAGTATGATGGGGATGGCGATGCTGGTGATGATGTGTATACTGTTTTTGAGTACGATGATGCTCATGATGAGGATGGTGTGGATGATGATGGCGATGATGCAACTAATGGTGATGATGGTGATGCGGATGATGGTGATTGTGATGGTGATGGCAGTGGTGATGATGTTGATAATGATGTTGATGTTGACGATGCTGATCATGATGACGACGATTACGACGATGGTGTTCGGGATGGGGATTCTCATGGCGATGATGAGATGATGACGACGATGACGACGACGTCGTCGAGGCGAAGGACAAGAAGGAGGAGGAGGAAGACAGTCAGATGTGACACCCTTTGTGTTCTTTATTTGCGGAGCTCTCATGGAACTTGTTTCGGCCGTCTTGGGGCTTTGGCCTCCTGTGAGGCAGGCAGTATTGGGGATCCCTCGGGGCTTCGAGACGGAGGGGTGGTCATAGAAGATTGCATAATCTCTACCAGGCAGCACTTGGCATTCCAACACACTTCAGCGTGCCAGGGTGCTCGGTGTCGGATCAGAATCGCTGTCATGCCAACTTCTACTTTGTCAGACACGGCCGTAATTTTATAATTCAAGGCATTTCGTTTGCGCCGAAGTATCTCACATCTTGATCACCCCGGCCTTACGTTCGGTCCAGAGACCCCCTGTGAGTGGGAAGGGTACGGATGCATCCTCTCATAATTGGACAGATTGTTCCGAGAGTTGACACGCTGATCCATTGCCGACCAGACGGTAGGTGTGATGCTGCGTTCTGGCGCTCCCATGGTTCCAAGGCGAACCCCATGTAGGACGCCCGAGGCTCCACCCGGGCACCCGGGCATCAAAAAATCCCAGCACCAGAGATTTTTGGGGGTTATTGAGTCGTAAGGAGAAGGGGAGACAGCCGAGGCGCCCTACTGCGCTCTTCTCACCGATCCGGCCAGTTTCACCTTGGCTCCTGGGCCCCCTGCCACGTCAAGCTGCTCCGTCCAGGAAGAAGCTCCCGGGTCTGTTCGCACGGACTGGACGGCTGTTCTGTCGAGGCGCTCCTCAAGGCCACGCCCGAGGGTCGCATTTTCATCTTGTCGGCGGCGAGCGAGGGGGGGGCAACGAGAAGGAGAAGGCCTTCTCGGAAGGCGGCTGGACTGCTCAGAAGCCTTCGCGCCTCCTGGTAAGTTTTTGTTCGTCTCCGGGGAAGGCTTAGAAAGCTTCTCGGGAGGCTGGGGGACTCCCGAACCTCCTGAGAAGACCTTCTCCTTCTCACTTCCCCCCCTTTCTCGCCGCCGATCCCGGGCATCAGCCAGCCGCTGTTCGGAGTATCGTGCCTATCTCTTGCAGATTTGCCAGAGCAGCCCCAGCCCTCCCAGGCGCCGCCGCCGCGGTCGACAAGGAGTGCTGAAAGAATATTTTGTTCCTAGGGCTCAGTATATCGTTGAACCCATCCCCATCCCCTCTTGGCCATGGCATCTCAGCCCCACAATCCCACTACCCCCGGTTC